ATCAAAAGAATGTAACTCCCACGGGTTGAGATAAGAACATTTTATTAACTAAGGTATAACATAAATCACTACTGCTACCACCAATAATAATAATGATAAAAGAAAAAACAAAGGAAGAGAATACAACCGCTCACCACCCGCTGACCAATACCCAGCCGGACTGAGCAGTGATCTCTCCCTTCTGGGTAACTGCCCCCAGTTTATATAGTGGGCATGACATGCTGTGGTATGGAACACCTCTTTGGCTAGTTTGGCTCAGATGTCCTGGCTCTGCTTCCTCCTGGCTTCCCCTCCTCCCTTGCAGAGCATGAGATGCACAAAGTCCTCGGTCAGAGTAAACATTACTTAGCAACAACTAAAAACATTGGTGTTATCAGCACTGTTCCCAGACCAAAAGTCAAAAACACAGCACTGCACCAGCTACTGAGAAGGAGAAAAATGACTGCTACTGCTGAACCCAGGACAATCAGTCTGTGTTCTGTTCAGTTAATATTTTAATTTGCAGACTGTTAAAATCCTGTATGATGTTCTGCTATAATATTCTGCCATATACTGTCATCTCGTGAGACCCCACTTGGAGCACTGTGTGCAGTTCTGGTGTCCTCAACATAAGACAGACATGGAGCTGTTGGAGCAAGTCCAGAGGCACACAATACTCCAAGTGTCATTTGCTTATAGCTTTAAAATGTAATGTCCAACAAGCACTAAAACTTAAGGACAAAACACTTTCTGAACTGTAACTTTTGTTAAAACTGATGCAATGATTCAATTTAGTTGATTCAAACACTAAAGGAGGTGGCCCAGCATCAGGTTTTTCAGTATTTAGCAGCTACCCACACAGGGCAGAACTCCTCTTCAGACAAGTCAGACAACTACCAACGTAATAGTCATTTTCGCAGTTATTTTGAGGACACTGCTGATAAAGGCCAGTCCCAGGCGATAATTCAGCAGCCTCTTCTGTGTTCTCCCCCTTCTATTCCACTTGAGATTTCTCCAGAGCAGTCCTTTGTGCAGTACTGAGTATAACTCAGCTCTGATACAGGCCTGTGCATCTCAATCACAATACTAAGCCAAATCTTCTGATTTCAAGAAATGAAAAATTAAAAGTTATCCTCAGAAAAAAGGTGATCCAGGCCTGCCAACAATTTCACAATCTAAATCCACTACATGACTACAACTGAAATTACCAAAATGCAGCACAGCATTTCTGCAGAAATGTTTGTGTATTAGCGTAAACACAGCGAAACCCTCATGAAAAAAATTATATGGCAATTTGAATTAGTAAAGTTTGCTTTAAGTTATAAAACAATTGTAGAGCTAATATTATAACTTACATGAAATACAGAAAATGTTTAAGCTTTTTACAGTTTAATCATCATTAACGGCACAAAGGAAATTATTTACTACCAAATGGATCAGAGAATACAGCAAGAAGGTCCTTGTAGTATTGATTTTGCACATAAAATGAACTTCTTCAGTTGCATGTGCAATTGTCAAGAAGGTTTGACTAGTATTAACTCCCCCTCTTATTGAGCCTCAAGGAATTGCCAGTAGAGATGTCAAACCCATTTTTAAGGGATGAAACAAAACATATGACTGCTTCATTGACTAGTAAGCAATTAAAGCTTAACTCTGACTAAACTGAATTTGTGTCACTGTCAACACAAAACTTTTTTTTTAAGCAGAAGTCAGCACTATGAATTATTTACTGTTCTCTGAACACTCAGTATCAACACATCAATTCACTCTCATTATATTCCTCCTTTATAATCCGGTTAGAATCACCTTCTAACATGCAGGATGATGGCAACGTGAGCCTGCAATGTAGTGAGTAATGTAATAAGGGGAAGCAACCACCTGAATTTTTCTGTGCTTTGGAGAACAAGAGTAGCTTTAGCACGCTCCCATCAAGCTTCAGAAGACCTTGAAAAATACATGTAAGGCCTTAATCATAAAATCATTCCTGAGTAGGGATAACTCCTTCTAAAAACCTGTGTGTGTGATTGCTTAGAATAGCACCAAACAATGTCCGAGAGGCAAAACATGCATCACAGTACAAATAACACCACATAAATAACCGACAATGGAAAAATATACTGCTTTAACATTGAAGAATTGAACTACTGTTCATGAGAGCAGAGCATGAGCAGTTCACTACTGTACTACTGTTCATGAGACCTGTACTACTACTACATAGTACTACTGTACTATGAGAGCTGTAAAAAAAAGTTGCCCCAGAACTACGTGCCTGAAAGATCATCTTTCCACTATCTATATTCAAAGTATTTTGTCCCTTAGAAGCTTTTAAGAGACTGCCAAAGCCAGAAGTACTGGCCAAAGTCAAACTACCCCACAGAAGATACAAGTATTTAGCCTAACTTTATGTCCCTGTGAAAATACAAACCCCTTCTTTAGAAAAACCATTCAAGCCTAATTTGGTTTATCACACCCTTAAGATCTTTAATTCTCAAATTCTAATAAAACAAGGATTGGCCATTAGAAAGTGCTGAGAACAAACTGTAAATAGCCAGATGCTGCAAAAATAGTAAAACATGTTCCCAAAAGCACACATAAATAATGCTTACCAAAGTGGTAATGTTGTCAAACACATTAATTAAAAGACAAATTAAATAAGAAGGGTCTATTACTTCTTAATTAAATCTGGCCATGATGCACAACTTCTGTGCAAAGTCATAAAGACCTCTATTACTACCATAGCGCCTGAAATTCAGCACATTTCTCTTGCTTGATTTTCCCTTTGCAGCAGACACATACAAACATCCACGTGCTGCAAAAGCATTACCAAGCATTCCTAAACCAGCTGTACTTGCAGAACTTAGGCCTAGATCAAATAATATTTCAACAACTACTTTTTACAAACAATACTGGAAATGTGCCACTGTGTTACAACTTCCATTAAAAATATGCCCCTTCAGATAAGCCTGAGGAAAAGATTAAAGATCAGCCTCCTGATTTCTATACTGTGGAACAGCAACGGTTACCATCTTCAGATTTAAAAAAAAATCCTTATGTACAATCCTTTCTTTAAAAAAAACAACCTGTTTTCTTACAGTTTCACAGAATTTTCAGTTGATAGCAATTGATGATTCCAGTTTAGTTTCATTGAAAACTACACCAATTACCCAGCTACCATGTTAGGCCTTCAGGTCCAGTTATGCCCATTTGGTGTAACAGAAGAACGTTAGATTGACCTCTGATTTTTAGCCTTTGTTTCAAAAGACTCAATAATATTCCCAGCATCTTTCATCAGTTCACTGTGCTGGCTAAAATTACGTGAAAAAGCTTATTAAATGTCATTTCTCAAACTAAATTTGTAAATCAGTAAATCAAGACTCCACAAGTTCAAGTAGGAGCTTTGGAATAGGACAGAAACCACTAATCTTCTCTTATTACTTACTCTGAAAATATGGCAAACTTTCATTAGCAAAATATACATATTAAAACTAAAAAATTAATGCAAACCAGAAATACTGCAATAACTTAAAACACAACAGTTCTATAAAAGATAGTTTTCCACACTTGCAAGAGTGTTAACAGTTTCTAACCCCTGACTACAGAGGGCAGTATAGAGCACTCCTTCACTGTAAAGCAGCTGTTGGCTTTAACAAAGTAATCTGGGTTAAACAAAATTATCAAATAGCATGACTTTGTAAAAAAAGCTGCACACTTTTTCTCGAACTGAGAGTCAGCCAGCCAACTCATTACAGCTCCTTCTGGTTTTCAGACTTTTCAGCTTGAACTCCACAACAAACACACAACAGGCAAATTCCAGAAGCTTCCCTAAAGTATTTTAAATAGATGCTGATAACCTTGTGTAAAAATCATAGAATCTTTTAGGTTGGAAAAGGCCTTTAAGATCATCAAGTCCAACCATTCACCTAGAACTGCCAAGTCCACCACTAAACCGTGTTCTCAAGTGTCACATCTACACATCTTCACCATATTTCTATAGAATATATTCATTGCTTTTAAATCCTATCCAAGTATTATCAGCTTTCAGCAACAACATTATGCATCAGCTGAAATGTCTCTAGTTACAGTTGTATTAAAGAGTAGTAATGTATATGTTCACATAAGAGTATCACAATTTTTGACTTAACGTTAAATAATTTTATAGACTCTAGTTATATTCAAAATTGACAAACTATAAAATCAGCATACTCACAACTTCTTAAAGGAATGCCTTTTTACTTCAGAGTGTTTCTTTACTAAATGCTTGTGGTCAACCTTGATATTAATGCGGCTTGACAATGTAAGGCTTTGAAAACATTTTTTAAAGGCAATCTGAACTGCCTTCATGTTACCCAATGCTGTATTTTTTTTAGGACTAAAGCTCTGTGCATTCTACATGATCACCAACTTTTAAACCCTGTGAAGAGTCTCATATTGTAAAATCAGCATTTCCTAAATTCATCACCAGATTACTAACAGGAGAACATTCACATACAGTATTTACTATGCGTCCTAACGAGATCTGGTACCTGAAGCATTCCTACAATGAAGACTTCATTTTTCCCTGACATGTTATGACTTGTCCTTATTTTAGTTCTGTTTAAAAAAAAACAAAAAACAACAACAAAAAAAAACAACACCAAGAACACCAACAAACCACAAATCAGTATTTTGCTTGTTTCAACAAAACAAATGTTGCAAAATGTTCAGTGAGAAAATACCGATACAAAGAGAAAAAACCACAGTCATGTGCATGGGGCTCACATTATGAATGAAAAAAGTCATGTTACTCTCTATGTAGGAAACAATTTCAAAATCCTCTAGGAGACATTTATTTATCATCTACATCACATGCTAAATACCATTTTAAAGTAATGAAACTCCAGTTCGTAACAAAATTTTTAGTACTGTCAGCATTTTTCACAGGGTTTCTGGTATGAAAGCACAGTTAAAAATCAAAAAGGTCTTTGTCCAAGAGTGTCACTAAACGATGCAACAAAAGTTGTCAAAATCAATATCGGACTTACCGCCAGTGCTTTAGATAACTTTGTTCTATAGTTACTCAAAACAATTGCATCGATATCCTTAAGTGGCACATATGCAAAGCCATCTTTAATAAACACTCTTCTGGTTCTAAACAGATCCACAGCATCTGCAAGTCCAACCTGAGAAAGAAGAAAACCCCACACTGTAGAATAGCAAAATGACACAGTAACAATGTTTACAACCTTAAGATCAGTACAGCTTTAAGTCGTTCTCTGTCTTAGCACTCTATCCAGGCAAAATGCAAATGGTTTGAAATTAAGTGTTGATTTTGGAGTAGCTGATCATTATTTTGGTGGAGAAATTGTTTACTTGCAAAAGGTCATGCAGCTAGGCAAAATAAGCTATTTTAAAGCTTGTATCTATGATTATTAGCCCAATTATGTAGCTTGGCATCACTTACTGATTTGATATTTGAAAATGGCCTTCTGGTAGCCTTCTGTTTCAGGCAACTTGAAATATTTTATTCATGAAAAGCTGCGTATCTTGGAAGTAGATCTGGAACCCAACCAACTTCACTCCAAAAAAGTCAGGGGTTTCCATCAGACACATTTCTTCTCCCTTTGCTCTCTAGCAAAAAGAGTTTCAGACTAATACATTCAGACCAACCTCAGCTTCAGCAACAGGTGCTCAAGAATGCCTCCAAACTGAGCGGTCTGTCAGTCAGGCAAGTTAAGTCAATTGTCTGGGAAATGTTAAAACTTAAGACCATTTTTGTGGTGAAAGACAAAGGATGGCAGAAAAGGACAGAAGACAGTAATAGTAGTTAAAAGCTCACTTCACTTGCAGTCCCTCCCTTGTACCTTATACTGACACAAAGAAGAGAAATTGTTATTGGTCTCAGTTGAGACACTTTGATTAACTGTTAGCAATAGTGTTATGTGAACATAATAACTCCAAGTTTAAGTGAAGGAGAATGAGTGCAAATCTGTGGAACTTGGCAGTTTCTACTTACCTTATAGAATATTTGTTCTTTTACTTTAGCCACACTGAAGCCAGGGGTTGATGTAAGCAGCTCATTTGCTAATTCATTTTTCGTGTCTTCACTGATCTAAAATTAAGAGCTTGTTTTAATACAGCTGAAATATTTCAGAATAAGGTTTGTTTGGTTTGGTTTTCTGTTAATTAACAAAAGCTAAAAGATTACTTAATCTGTGAATATATCATTCCTTTCAGTGATTCAGCAAGCAATCACTAATAATTAAGCAGAAACCAGCAAAACACTAGTGGTCAATAGTGTTAAATAATCTTCCTTCTGAAGCCGCAGTGCAGATTTTAAAATACAATAATTTTAAGCATTAACACAAAGCCACATTTTGTAAAAGTCAACCTTTTAAAAGCCAACAAATTAAAACTTGTGATAAACCCTGCTCACATCAAGGTTTACTATATGCATTAAAATAAAGCCTGGTGAGTCAATCGCGGTTAGTAACGACTTAAACAACTTTGTCAGATTTTTGACAAAAATACGAGTTTCAGATTCATTTTTAAATCCAGACTTAAAACAAAACAAAACAAAACCAAAAAAAAAACCCAAACCCCACAACATGTCATCTATCGTATACTTCTTCTTCTATAAATGTGAGTGCTTTTCTTGAGGTCTTAAAACAGGCAAACTAAGCAGCAATGCTGTAATTTAACAACTTGAACTATTTAAGCCAAGATTTATAGCTTGAAAAACCATGGATGATGCTACACTTCATCTAATATAAAAACTTAAAATAATGCATATACATAACTATATGTGTTATGCTTTTTTTGCTACTTAATAGTGCACCAAATGCAGAAAAGCCACACAAGACTAGGACATTATAATGATTTTACTAGTCAATAAATCATTTCAGGGTTTTATACGAAGGAAAATAGCAACAACAAAAACAACAACATTTAGAATCAATTTGTTCTGCCTTAAATAATGATTAAGCTCAGTCCTCAAAACCTGAAAAAAGTAAGAAATAATAAAAAAAAAATAAATCTAAGTAATCTACTCTGATAAAACAGATCATACAGGCTGGTAATCCAGCAGTGATACCTAGTAACTTAACTGCACGCAACTAAGTCTTAAATATTTGCACAACATATGTTCTTGATAAAGTACAATGGAAGTAGTCCCTGACTGAAAGGGATTGAATGGTAGGAAACACAGAATACCTTCCCAAAACACAGATGGACACAGACATCACTGAAGTATAACACACTGTGTGACAGTGCTCCAATAACTATGGAGAGGTGATACAAGGCTGCAGCCAAGACAAGCTTTTAGAGACTCGTCAGGAAGGCAAGGCAATCGTATGCACTAGATACCCACCCAGACTCCAAACACAAGATAAAACAGACACTCAGTAACATTCATCTGCATGGAAGGGGACGTGCATGAACAGTTCATTTTCTGAATGGGACAGAATACCTAATTTGTTGACCAACACTTCTATGCAATTAAATACACATTTAATTTATTTTTCCCCTTCTTCTCAGTTGAAAGACTGAGAAAATGAAACAAAACAAAACCCCACTTTTCTTGGAAGTCATAGGAAGGACTCTTTCACTTCAGACCTAGAGGAGTAGTTCAGCAAATGCACTCTATGAAAGTGATTTGATGGATGCATATGAAACGGCCAAAGCAGGGATGTCTAGAAGGTTTATGGTTACCCTGTCTGCATCTTAATGTTGATCTAGATGCAACTGTAGTACTCTCAGGAAAATCAGTTTTAAAGAATAATAATAAAGCTGCCAGGAAGGCACAGGAATGTAACTTTAAAGACAGAGGAAGTACACAGTAGCATTATATTTCCAGATGTGACAATCTAACGCTCAGAGAAAAACAGGCTGTGTGGAGAACATTTTTCTTTAGCAAAGTAGCTGTATCAGAACAGTTAAATGTGTTTGTGCAAGTAATTTGAGGAAACACTATCTATAAAATACTCCCACTAATGATCTCATTCATGTTAGTCTTCAAAAGATTCCCGCTTTTCAAACATGACACGCAGAAACTATATACAAATTTAACAGTGCTACTACCAAAACCCTGCTACTCCTTCCAGATGATGTATTTCTTGTTTAAATAACTATAAATCTAAGTCACCATGTGAGCCTGCAAGCTTGCCTTTCACCTAGTAGAGACCAAAGTTTTCATTTTCATTCCAGAATAGCAACTTCCATTTTTCAAATAGAACAGGTTTATACTTTCTCAGTAGAAATTGCCTACAAGAGCCCAGCCTACCATCAATGAAACTGTCTTCAAATGAAAACAGTGAAACATATTGTATAGCTATAGTAGTTACAATTGCATTATTTCTTCTAGGATATCTCACTGAATAAAACATGAATCCAAGCCAAGGATTCTTTTTGGTTTTTTTTACAGACAGGCATTAAAACAATCCAGTCACTACTTTACAGATAAAGCTTGCAATACTGGGGGAGAATGAAAAGGAGGAAAAGCAAGGATTCCTTTGTTTTTCTAAAACCAATTAGCTCATTTTCATCCACAAAATCATTTAATTCAGTATTACATTTAATTTCAAGGTGTCTTTACTTCTTAATATACATGTAAAATAATAATACTGGCTCCAAACTTCACAAGCTGCCTAGAATCTTATTAGTCATTTGACCATACCAATCTTGTACAGATGTAAAGTCACACTGATTTGAGATTTTCTTGCATCTCACTAGCAAAAAAATACTGTTGGGGTAAAAGTGATCCTGGTGAAACCTCCAGTAAAACAGGTTAATGGACCACAACTACAGATAAGATTATGACCTGTGTTGAGTGTATTTTCTAAGCAAACAGATGTTCTTGCAAAGCCGTATTTATCATATAAATAAATATTATTATAAAGCTGCTAAATAATTTACATCTTACAGCCTCATGCACAGCCAAAACTTCAGGCAAACCCTACCAACATTTTGCTCCTTGCCTTTTCACCAAATTCACACTGCCTTTATGTTTTTATCTAATGGAGAGAAAAGAAGAAGAAACAAGGATATTCCTAGCCCCTAAGTAAAGCTGGGATATGACGCCAGAATGTGTTTAACTATAAAACTTGCTTTTCTAAAGACTAGAAAATTAAAAATAATTGGTATTGGCATTAATGATTTCACTATTTTCATGAAAAACTGCATAAAACTGACTGAAGACACAGTGCAATGAAAATAAGCTCCTTATAATCCAGAGTCAGACTGAAGCTTTCAGCTGGGTCATGCCTGTACCTCTTCATACAGAACATCATGAAACATGCACCCCATTTTTACTTAGTTCATGGAAGCTGGAAAGGGATTTTTTCCCTTCCTTTTATTTTTTTTTTTAATTTTAGTAAGAACACTAAAGTTTGTACATTTAATAACCTCATTTCTAAAATGGCACCTGCAAGAACACTTTCCGGTAATCATTAAAAAATTAGACACAATTAAATACAGCTTTTAAGATTCTAATCAGGATCAGAAAGATAAACAGACTGCGTAACTTCTGACAGAGCTCAATGATGCTTTCAAGATAAAATACAGGAGATTCTAAAAATAAATAAACAGAATTCTTCTGAGGATGTCACCTGGTGCTCGTCTGACCCTTCTCACTGAACTGATTCAACTCACTCCACAGCCAGTAACTCCCTAGTTTTGCCTCATTTGTTGCCAGTTTAGTTAACGAAAACTGCTTATCACCAAGTCATTCTTTACTTTGCACAAGCAAAAAGTAACAGCAGGAAAAGGATATTCCCTTTTCAGTGACAGTGGGTCATTGTAGCTTGAAACAGTTTTAATACTTCATCTTAAGTTTTTAAGACTTAAAAAAATTAGGAAAAAATCACAACATGAAAAGGGAAGGCATGAGAGGAAAGGAAGGAAGCCGATTTGGGACAACTTGCATTATTTCTAGTTTTCTTGCTTTATACATGCAGATTATTCATGGACTTTTAATCACAGAATTGTCCTGGAAACACAAAGACACATAAATTTAGATTAAAATATGAATAATTTAATATGTAAGCCTTAGTTAAACAAACACTGGCAGTGAGCCCGTCCAAAAACCTCAGAATACATTTTATAACCCTGCTCCATTTTAATGAAGAGTTGAAGATGCATGCACACATTGTACTACTATATATGCACAACTGCTTACTTTGGCTGTTTCTAGGTCTCCCAGTAAGGAACAAGAACTCAATGCACAAGTCCTTTGCTTTTCCAAGGCTCAGCTTCAGGGGTTTACAGGCACACATTGCTGGTGTCCTTACAGAGTGAACTTCTTACAACTTGCTTGAGCAGCTGGTACTCAAGTGACACAACAGCCTTCTCAAAAAGGGATGGCATCAGGATCTCAATACTACACTGTATTTCAATTTTAAGTATGAAAAAGACAGAACAATCATTTCCTAGTCAATCTTCTCCATTGCCACACATCACAGTACAAATTAGACTAGAACTACAATACAAAAATATTAACTTAGATATCATTAAATTTAAGAATATAACTTTAAAGTGTATTCAACCACTTAACGTATACTAGCTTGATGAGGAAAGAACATCATTCCCAGCCATGCTACCAGTTAAAGCAGGCATGGACTTTAAAACATTTCAGAAGTTCAAAAATCTGACGACTCTTCTTAAGGGATATCAATTCCATTTTAGCCAGGCACAATGAATTAAAAAGAAAATTCTATTTCTGATTGTACTACAACTTACTATTTTAGTTCTTGTTCGGGTTGCTGGCATCCCTTAAAACATAAAGGGCTGTACTTGGAATATTATGTATTCTTATCCAGCGACTGAAACAATGTTTGGGTTTTTTTTTAAAGTCAGGAGTGGGCATGGAAAGGACATTTTATGAATCTTCCTCAAGAATGCAGCTAATTCATGCTTACTATAATCACAGAGAAAACTCAGAGACACAGGTCCAGTTTCCTACATTCCTGAAAAACATTGCCCTACATCCATGAAAAGGGAAGCTAAGCAAAACATGTATGTATGTATGTATGTATGTATGTAGTAATAAATGTTACATTACATACATATTAAAGTCAGACACTACTGAGGAGCTTATGAGAAATATGCCAACAAGCT